GCCCACCCCTCCTCAGCAGTAAGGGCTTCCATGAGGAGTCCACAAAGTCTGGCACAATAGGATGGGTCAGGGCCAAGCCCTCTCCCATGCATTAAGGCTGAGCAAGGCACCCGCCATAGGGGATGGGCTCCAACAAGCTAGCTCATGTCCCAGGGTTATACTGTGGTCCTCCTGCCACTGAGCATGTGCCTTTTGTTGTTGTTTGTTTGTTTTTTTGGGATGGGGCTTCCATGGATTTTTTTTTTAAGAATAGGTTTTGTTATATAGTCCAGGTCAGCCTTGAACTCATGGTCCTCCTGCCTCAACCTCTAAAGTGCTGGAATGACAGGCCTGTACCACCACATACAACTGGAAATGATGTTTTTATTATTCATTCTCTTTAGTGCATTGGAGACACATGGCTCTTCGTGTAGTTCATTATTAAACCAAAAGCTAAGAAATCCAAGTTAGAAACATCTGTACTTTTAACTACTTCACAAAGCCTTGGCAGCGTGAGACCCATTGCTCCTCTTCATCTTCAGAAATATTTTCTCTGCATTTTCCAAGGTTGTATTGTATATGCCATTTTTCTTGCTGTCATCAACTACCAACTTCTGGGTTTCCAGTCTAAGAGGGGAATGTATATTCCGAGAATTCTTTCTCTGGGAAGATATAAACATATGTACTCGCCTTATAAGGTCCCAAAGACAAAAAATCTAACCTAAGGAACCAATGAGTTTAGTGGGCTTACGGAATACGGGTGAGGGGTTGCTTATAGGGCCATGAGTAACCCTGCCATACCAGAAAGTCTTTACCTAGCATGGGTGGTGGTTTCCCTAACGTCACACATATGTGGGTCCCTTTCACTAACCTCCCTCAGTTTTATATTCTAACACCTCAAGACCCCTAGGTCATTTGCAATTAGAATAGAATTGTATCCAAAGGGCTGGTAAGAGTGACTGGAGTCTCAAAAGAGCTCATGCTCTCCCAAATTTCTTCTCCTTGAAAACTGGCACAGCTGGTCTAATGAAGATGGTAACTGACTTGCCTAGAGGATAGCATTCTGCAACCCTCTCCCCTGTGTGTGTGTGTGTGTGTGTGTGTGTGTGTGTGTGTGTGTGTGTGTGTGTAAGTGAGATGGGTCAAAGGGAGAGTGAATTGTTCTTCCGGTAACCACTCCCCCCCAACCCCCCCCACCATCACCACTTTCAACCCCCTCATTCTCAGCCAAGGCAGAGGAGGTCCCGGGGGAAGGAAGACATCATCTCCTTCCCTAGCTGGGAATGTGTGGTGGTGGAGAGCCTTCTGATCTGCCTCCTGCCTGACTGAGCACAGGCGCAGAGAACTGAAGCAAGGACATGTTGTTTTGTCTGCCTGGATTCTGGAGCTTTCTCTGTGTGGAGCAAAACTGCATCTCAAGTAGAAGACCTCAGCACTGGTGCTCCCCCTCTGTTCAGTTTTTATCTGCGTTACAAACATTGCCTTCGATTGTGGTTTCCTTGCAGGAATCTTGTTAAGAGCCATATATCCATTTGTGAGGAGAGTTGATGTAGTTAAATTTTGGTCACATAATTGATAAATCCACTTAGCTCGGTACTTGGGACACACCATAGGCATTCAAGCTGTCAGCATCAATTAGAGATAGGGAAACCAGGTATTTCTGGGCACGTGGAAGTAAAAGAATGGAAACTCTAGCCTGACGTGAGTTTTGTCTTTTTGAGAGTGTTAGTCTGGATTCCCTTGCATCGTGGCAACTTCTGGAACACGTATATGTGTATGTATTTCTCCATAACACATATGTATGTATAGACCTATGATGCACATTTATGTGTACGAAACAGACCTCTGTGACCTGAGGAGCTTACATTGCTTGGTATGTTCACTTACTAAGTACCACACACTCTGTGACTCACACAATAGAAATGTTGTGTCATAACTGCCAAGGCTAGAAGTCCAAGACTGGAGTATAGACAGGGTTGGTTCCCTCTGAAGATTGGGATGAAGGGTTAGTTCCAGGCTCTCTCTGCCTATGCGGGGTTGCTGGCAATCTTTGGCATTCTTTGACTTACAGACACTTCACCCTGACGTCTGCCTCCATCTCCACGTGGTGGTCTCTGAGAACACATATCCATGTCCAGTCCCCCTAATGTAAGGACAACATTGTATGTCATGAGGATCCCTCCTCTGTGTAATGTCACTTTAACCTAGGGAATTACACCTATAGCTCTTATTTCCAAATGAAGTCATATTCTGAGGTGTGGTGGTTTACTACGTTGACACAGGAATTTTAGAGGGGACACAATTCACCTATAATGCTGGCCTCCACTCTAGACCCCTGGACACAAGACCTCTGAGGGTGAAAGCTTGTGTGATATTTATGTAGTACATACCATATACATAATGTAATATGACAATTACACTCTTGACAATTTTAGAACATTGTTCTTTGTTTTGTTTTTGAGACAAGGTCTTGTTATATATCCCTGGCTGGCCTGGGACTCCCTATATAGCCAAGGATAGCATCTGACTCCCAAATTCTCCTCCCTCAGCTTCCCAAGTGCTGGGATTACAAGTGTGTACCACCGCCAGGCAGTGGTGGCTCACGCCTTTAGTCCCAGAACTCAGGAGGCAGAGGCAGGAGGATCTCAGACCAGCCTGGTCTACGAGAGCTAGTTCAGGACAGCCTCCAAAGTCACAGAGAAACCTTGTCTCAAAAAAACAAAAAATAAACAAAAAAACCCCAGTGTGTGCCACCATATTGGGCCTGAATTTTTAGAACACTTAGCTTGAGATCCACCCTCTTAGATATTCAAGTACACAGTACAAAACTGGGAGCTAAGAGCCTAATGGTGCATAGCTGAATCTCCATCTTGCATGGATGATGCTCTTACAACTGTCAAACATGAATTCATGTTTTTAAGAATGACCCCAAGCGACCTGTGTGCTGAGTAAAACTTGAGAACTGCCTAGTCACCCAAAGTGTCACACAATGTCTCATCTCAAACACAATGATGAACGAAATGAAACCACACATTTAAACGTATGGCTGAGTTCTAGGAGAATGAAAGAAAAAAATATCCCAAATGTCAAAACTGGAGAACAGAAGCGAGAGAGCTAAGGATTGGCTGATCCGAGTGGGGCAGCTCGAGACCGTGAGGCTGTATAGAGCAGTGGTTCTCAGCCTTCCTAGTGCTGGGACCCTTTAATACAGTTCCTCATGCTGTGGTGACCCCAACCATAAAATCATTTTGTCGATACTTTATAACTGTAATTTTGCTACTGTTATGAATGATAATGTAACATCTGTGTTTTCCGATGGTCTTAGGCAGTCAACTAAGGGGTCACGGCCCACAGGCTGAGAACCACTGGTATAAAGTCTTAGCAGCCAGCTGATGCCAGGGGATAGGTCATTGCACAGCTGAAGAAGAAAGGCTGAGCCAAACCCCCTCACATGAAACATGGGACTCGAAGAGACAGATGCCTTGCCATGGAAAAGGGAGCTAGCAAAACCCAGAGAGCCACTTCAGCTGATTAGAATTTTGGGAGCTGGGCTCTACCGTCCACATGCATCTGCTCCACGGGTTTACAGGGTCAGGCGGCTTAGTCAGGGAACATATAAGATCCAGGATTTGGGGGAGGCACTAGTTATTAGGGGTTGTTTTGAAGTACGAGAGAGAGCTGGAGTTTGATAAGGTCTGCTGGGCAGGGTCACGGAGCAACTGGGGAAAGGCATCCTGGGATGTGGGAATGGATCAGAGCCCCAGAGAGTGAGCAGAGGGCGTGTCATAACTGAACTTGCTGCTTTTAAAGACTGCCAGGCGCCCTTCTCTTCGGTCCCCACTGAGCTCTAGCTAATCAGCTGTCACTGGACTAGGACACCGGAGAAGAGCATGTTAGGAGGAGTTGCCATTTTGTAATTTCAGCCTTGGTCAGTTGTCCCTATTGCTTCAGGGACCTGTTGTGAGGCAACACATTATGCCAGGAGGGTGTAGAAGGAAGAGCTGGAGTCCCATGATCCTCTTTGAGGACACGGCTCAGCAATGTCCCACCACTGGGCCCTGCTTCCTGGGGATCACACCTATAGCACACAGGCTTTGGGGAGAGGAATAATCTGAATTATAATGAACTCTAATGAGCCCTGCCCCCAATCACATGGCCCTTGGAAATTTGGGACTCTAATTTGATCGTGTGTGTGTGTGTGTGTGTGTGTGTGTGTGTGTGTGTAGGGATGGGGTGGGGTGGGGATTGAATCCAGGGCATCACACATGCTAAGCAAATACTCTAATGCCAAACTCTGTCTCCAGCCTGGGCACCTCATTTGAAAACTGCTCTGTTGACTGTGCTGTCTGTGGTGGTTGAATAGCAACTACCGGCTTTCATTGGTTGATTCATCAGACACTGGGCACCACTTCTGCTTATTCCTACATGGTAGACATAATTATGATCTCTGTACTTTATAGACATCTTTAGCTCCGAGGGATAGTTGGTGAATGTATCCATATGACAATTGCTCCCTAACTAATGACACAGCATTAAACCTCGGTCTGCTGACCGCTACATCAATATGTTAATTGATTATAGATAACTCTTTTGCCTTATTCTTTAAAAAATCATTATGTATACAGCATTCTGCCTGCATGTATGCCTGCAGGCCAGAAGGAGGGCATCAGATCTCATTACAGATGGTTGTGAGCCTCCATGTGGTTGCTGGGAATTGAACTCAGGACCTCTGGAAGAGCAGCCAGTGCTCTTAACCGCTGATCCATCTTCTCCAGTCCTTTTTTATTCTTTATCCATTTTTAAATTTTCTAAGTTTTAAATGTAAAATGGAAGGAAATTTAGTAGCCCTAAAAAGCCTCAATAACCCAGCCAAACACACGCACACACACAAGTGTGCGCGCCATTGGCATGTGTGTGCAGGGGGAGGTATGAGTGAGCAGTGATGTCAAGCAGGTGGGCGAGGCATGGGGGAGGCAACACCCTGACCCCGATAGACCTTGTCTTCCTCACCCCCATCACAGGTCAACCCTTTCAGAGATCGCATCTGCAGGGTATTCTCCCACAACAACGTGTTCTCCTTTGAGGACGTGCTGGGCATGGCGTCGGTGTTCAGTGAGCAGGCCTGCCCCAGTCTGAAGATTGAATATGCCTTTCGCATCTATGGTAGGTACCTTGGTCAGGGTGTGGTGCCGAGTGGGGAGGGGGAAGGGGCCACAGAGAACCTGCCACATGTGAAATCCAGCGATGTTATCTCATTGCTGGGATGGTGTAACTGGGATTCATTAGGTCTTTATGGGTTTATGTCGGATCTCTTAAGTACCGTGAGATAACAAGCCCGGCTGAGAATCTCAGCTTTGATAGACAGAGGCCCTTCCCTCCATGTCATCTATGTAAGTGGCTTTTTTATTGCTGCTGTCACCAACATACTTGACAAGAAGCAGCTGAGGGGAAGGAGAATTTACTGGGGCACAGTTTGGAGGCATACAGTCTTGTCATGGCAGGGACGGCAGCATGGCAAGCCGCCACAGGAGTGGGAGTGTGTGGTTGAGACTCCACTTTGTTACATGTTGTCATGTGTTGATGACACAGGAGTCAGAGGTGACACAGGACGCTGGTGGTGCCGCCAAGAGCCTCCAGTTCTGCCCCTTAAGAAACCCATTCCCTCCCTGGCTAGGCTCCTCCTCCCAAAGGTCCCATGGTCTTCCAAAACAGTGTTAGAAGCTGGGAAATAAATGTTCAAGCACATGAACCTGGGAGGGCTAGTTCAGGTTAAAATCTGAGCACCATCCAAGGGCACTGGGGTCGCCGATGGCAGGCCAGAGAGAAAGAAGACACATGTGGGTTGGAAGACTCCGGCGGGAACTTGAGACTTGAGCACTGGAGCCAGCTCTGACTGTGGGGTCTTGAACAAGTCATTTCATCTCCCGAGAATCCGCTGTCTCATCTTGAAAGGGAAGGACTTGAGAGAGGTCATCTCTGATGTCTTTGGTATCTGCCGAGTGGGATACTCGACCTCTCAAAAGCAACTGAAGGGAAAGAACCAAAGAAATCCCAAGCACACATTCCTGCTCCTGTGGCTGCTGGTCACCTTGCTGTCCCTGCCGTAGCACAGTGGGGCACTCAGACCTCTCATAAGCAATCGAAAGGAAAGAAACAAAGAAATCTCAAGACACCTTCCAGCAGACCAGGATCATCTCTGAGTACATCATGGAAACCCCTCTGCTTGCACAGGCAGACGGGCATGGATGAGCAGTTTCTGTTTAAGTGGACCATCCAGTCCTCCTGTCCTCAAACATCTGTGAGCAGGCTCACACAGGCTGAGGAAAACGGAAACTTGCCAGGTGTGGTGGCATATACTGGTAATCTTAACACTCAGGAGGCTGGGGCAGAAGGACCACAAGTTTGCAGACAAACTGGCTGCACAGGGAGAACTTGTCTTAAGAAGCCAAGGGCTAATGTTACAGCTCGATGGCGGAATGCTTGCCTAGGATACACAAGGCTCCAGATTTGATTCTCAAACTAAGCAAACAACCCCCCCCCAACCCTCTCTAATCTGGAGAACCTGAAGGACAAGATTGCAGTCTGAATTAAACCAAAAATGTCAGTGCTGTTTTTGGAGAACTAGAACAGAGCTCAGCATCTTTATACCGAAACATTTACAATCCCCCAAATGAAATCTGAAAGTGACCTGATATGCAAGAAAATTCCTTTGAATCTTGCTGCCGTCTCCAGAAGGGAGACTGACTCTGACATGACCCAGATACTGATAAACAGTCTTAAAACAGCCACCGTCACTGTCGCCCGCTCTTCAGAGGAACAACGAGAAAGAGAAGGGGGAAGGAGGAAAGGATGCAGGAATGGAGAGGGGAGGCAGGAAGAGGAAGAGGGGCCTGTAGGGATTGACATCAATGACTCTGGTGACCAGCACCCCACCATCTCCTGTGAGTGGGGCATCCAGGAAACATGGTGACTTAATTCAGTCCAAGGGCACCAGAACCAAGGGCACCATTGACCAAGGACAGAGCAGAAGGAAAAGCTCCTCCGTCCTCTGTCTTGTGCTCTATGGAGCCTTTGCTGGACTGGATGATGCCCACCCACAAGCTGGCATATGGTCTTGTTTTTTACATTTTTATCTGTTTGTAATCTCTTTTTAAAAAGATTGTGTGGCTGCAGTGCCCAAGTAGGTCAGAAGAGGGAGTTGGATCCCCAGGAGTGAGTGAGTGTGTGAGTGTGTGAGTGTGTGTGTGTGTGTGTGTGTAGTACTCAAGTAGGCCAGAAGAGGGTGCCAGATCCCCCTGGATTAGATGGTATGAGCCTCCCACCATGGTTGCTGAGGACCAAACTGAGGTCCAAACAGATGACTTCATACCTGTGTGTAATGTATTTCAGTTATTTCATCCACTTCTACCTACTGTGCCCCTCCTTCCAGCAAGAGGCCCCGTTCACCTCTGTCTGTGTGTGTGCATGTGTGTGTGTCTGTCTGTGACATCCATTGTATTTAGCTGGGGTTGCTTACATGACCATGGCTGTAGGGTTATTTACTGAAGTGTGGGCACTTTGCCAGTGGCTATCCTACTGAAGAAAATCACTCTGCTCCCCGACACTGTCAGTAGCTCCTGACTCAGGAGTGAGGTCTCTGGAGGCGGCTCTCCCCCAGCCGTGAAGGGGCTGTCGCCTGCAGATTTGAATGTGACCTTCTTTATTCAGTTTACTGATTCAAATGCTAATCTCTTCCAGAAATTCTCTCACAGACACACCAGGAAATCATTTTTTTCTGCCTTTATCTGGGCACTCCTCAGCCAAGTCAAACTGACACGTAAGATTGACCATCACAACTACCATTTCCAATAAAGTGAATCTGCTCACACACACAAAAAGGAAAAGATATGAAAAATATATGAAAGCGCATCAGAAAAAATACCACTATGAGAAGGAGTTAAGCGGGCTGGGCCTAGTAGCATCAGCCTGTGGTTCCAGCTGCTTGGGAGACTGAGGCAGGAGGGTCACATGGTCAAAGTCTGCCTGGGCCACAGAGTACATTCAAGGCTAACCTGGGAAATTTAACAGGTACAGAAAAATAAAATTAGAGTGTTGGGGTGTAGCTCAGTGATGGAGTCCTGACCTAGCCTGCAGTAGCCTTTAGGTTCATACCCTGCTACCAAACAAAGCCGGACAAACACAGGAACCATCCAAAACCAAAACTCACCAGATGGGCTTAACAGGAGAATTGAGATAGCAGAGGAAAGGGTGAATCTGAAGACAGATGCAGAGAGAAAAATCTGAATAACAGAACAAATATTGAGGGAATTAAGGAACAGGGCCTCTGGGACTCAGAAAGGTCAAATATACAACCAGTTGATCCAATTGGAGTCTCAAAAGCAAAGGGTAGAAAAGGTATTTGAAGAACTAGCGGCCCTAAATGTCTTAAATTTGGTGCAAGACACAAATTCATAGTGAATCCCAATCCGAAATGAAATCACACACCCATATATTGTTAGCTCAGCAGTCCTGCCGGTGTGTGTGTGTGCGCATGCGCGCGCACACACACCGTTCCTACAGCTTCCTCCTTCCTTTACCCAGGCTGGCCCAAGCATCCCCAGGGAGTGTACTCTGGATCCCAGGAGTCCTCGCTAGCTGGTCACCACCACAGTTCTGTCAGATGTGGCAGCTGTGCTGACTGAAGTCCTTGTCACACTCTCTAGGACAAGACAAGCCTCTAGCAGAGCTCAGGCCACTCGCCTCAGACAATAGTGCACAGAAACTTAGCTCAGGAAGCGATAGATGAGGGACAGGGAATCTTAGTCTGCCTGGGTTGGGTAAAAAAAAAAAAAACCTCCCCAAGCTTCATTGGCTTCAGAGCCAAACTTTATGGTCTCAGGGGCCGCCAGTAAAGAATCCAAGCTTGGCCTAATTCAATCCTCCTTCCCTCTCCTCTCCCACCTCCCCCTGCTTCTGCTTCTGATTTTTTTTTTTTTTTGGCAGGGTCTCACTATATAGTCTGGCTGGCCTGGAACTCACAGAAATCTATCTGCTCCTCTCTCCTCAGTGCTGGAATGAAAATGTGTACTACCACTCCCAAGGATCCCTCTCTTAAGGTCTCATAAATCTCCAGTCAAAGTTCTGGCCAAGCTACTTTCCCATCTGGAGAATGGCTGGAGGGGGAAGGCCCTTAAAGCCACTGGCAGAATACAGTTCCTGTGTTCTGGACCTACCTTTGGCCTCTGGCCTCCTGCTAACTACCTGATGATCAGTTAGGATTGCATCCAGCTACACGTAGCAGTGCCCTGGTTATAGACAGACAGACAGATGATAGAAGTCTGGAATGATGCAGAGTCCTTCATGCTTCCTCAACTGTAAAGTCTTGGTATGAGACTGTTGTCCTATTGTCCTCGTCGTCACAAAGTGGCTTTTGTGCCCACAGACTTCTCATCTTTATTCTAGGCAGGGAAAGTGGTGCAGAGGGGGATGGGTGAAGGAATAAAGGTGAAATTTACATCCAAAGACACAAATAAGTCAGCCCTTCCCAAGCTCTCTTGGAACACCACCAAGACACTTCAGTTTATATTTCAGGGGCCAGAATGATGTCATACGGCCACCCATGGCTGCCGCGGAGATGGTAAAGCCATGCATTTTCATCTGAACCCAGGGTCATCTTGAACAGGAACTGTTTTGAGAATGGCTAAGGGCTAAGAATGCAGCAGGGCTAGAGGAACCTTGACTCCCGGGGCTCACTTCCTGGGTACCAGTTCCTGCCTTGAGGGGCACTCGGGCCTCCGTGTGATCAATGTCACATCTCTCCATACCTCCAGGAAGATCAATCGCTTTTGTCAGAAATCAACGTCTCAGCCACACCTTCCTGATCTAGCTGGTACCAGCTATGGCTCCTCAGCAGAAAGCAAGCAGTAGGGCTTCCTGAGGCCTGACCAGAGGTGCCAGTGGCTAGGTGAGGCCGTGGAGGAAGCCTAGGGAAGCTATGGGAAGCTTGCCCTTGGTCTGCTGGCAATGAGCTTCAGGCAGTGCTTCATGGGAAGCATGCTTTGGAAGGACTTGGAGGCTAAACCCTATTGGATGCAGTTCCTTAAGCTTCCAGCAGTGAGAACACATGAGAGCCCCCACACCCACCCAGGTGGTCGGTCGCAGGCTGTGAGTTCTAATCCCGCTGGGTCAGCATAGACGGGGACCCAGCCCTTTCCCAGAATGCTCCGCCCTTGCATCCTCAAAGGACAGGAACCACCCAGGACTACATTTACTCTAGCAAATTATTCTGTTTCCTGATGGCTTGGGACCAAAGCCATGTCATTTTCTGGAGTCTCTGCACTTGGGAGCTAAGCCAGCAGGATGCCTGGGGACACTGCAGGGGCTTGGGGAAAGGAGTTTCTTACCAGCAGTGCGGTGTCCCTGCGTCTGCTCGGTGCCTCCACCCCTTCAACCTGCTCCTCTGACTCACTTCCTGTGGGGCGCACGGGTTATGCAGGGAGAGAGAGCACCCAAAAGCAGCCCAGACTAGGGCTGCAGCCACAGGCTGAGAAATAGTCAGGCATGCCCCGTCCATATGCACACTGCCATGAAAGGACTCTGTGGCACCAGCAGACTCTGGGCCTCAGTTTCCCTAATAACCCACTAGGCTCTTACTGCCATTCTTCTAGATGGGATGTTACAGCCTCTTGGGTTTTCATCTTTAGTACTCAACAATAAGCACCTGATGGAAAACTAAGCCCTGGCTACAGCTAACAGGAGTCTTCTGTATTCCAGACTCATGCCAAGGGATGGTTATGTATGTCCTGTTTAACCTACACATTGTAGAGGTACAGCTATTGTCCCCATTTCACAGACAGGGAAACTGAGGCTCAAATAATGAACTGGGATTATGTATGTACATACATACATACATACGAGAAGCTGAAAATAGTTGTCCACAGTGGTTCTAAGGCTCTGTAACATTAGGGAGCCAGGCTCCTCCTACCCCTAGCTTTGCCTTCTATTTCCATGGTTACCTCATTATCTCAAAGACCTTCCCATAAGTCACTTGCCCTCTTCTACTAATATGTCGCTGGCAGAGCTCAGCCCTTTGGGCACCTCTTGCAGCAAGGGAGGCTGGGAAACAGTGTTCCGTCTGGATGACCCTCTGCCCAGCTACAAACTGGTGGCTTTCTGTAATGAAGACAGTCTCGGGTGGTACAGAGCACAGATTTCCTGTAACGTCTAAACGGCGGAGTTTAGTCATGTCCCCATCACTTACCAGATTGAAGTGGACGCTCTTTCATCCATTTATTCATGGAGGCTGCTTTGTGCTTGGCATCGTCAGAATTAGGATGCCAAGCCGGAGGGAGTGTCGCCCCAGCCTCTGACTGCTGGGGGAAACAGCTGAGATTCTTGAAACCACCCCATTAGTAGTACAAGCTGCACAAACCACTGCCCCATTTCCTTGAGAAGACAGGACGCGTGTCCAGGACACACAGGCAGCTACCACACAGGGGCAGAGGCCCAAGCCACTTCTCAACTCCTAAACCCTGCCTGGCTCCCGGCCACCAAACCACAATATGGCTTCCGAGTTCTGAAATGGACCTCGATGTGGGGCCAGGTCAGCCTAGGCGAGTTTGAACTTTGCCCTCCGGTTGCCTGGCCTTTCAAACAAGCTATATCACACCTGAACCTTGGTGTCCTCTTGACAAAAATAAGAATGAAAAGGTGGATGGTGAGGATTCAATGACTTAAAAATGGACACATCCGAACACACAGTAGGTTTACGGTCAATGCTTATAGCTGTTGCTGTTATTGTTACATTATTTAGTATTGTCTAATGCTGTACCCTCCCCCCCTCACACACACCATGTCCCAGATTCTAGACTTTCTTGGGGCAAGTGGATCCTAGTCGGCCTTCCAGAGACTGAGGGGAGTCAGTTCCATGAGCCAGGGACACTCAGCCTCCGTCTCCTCCCTCCAGATTTTAACGAGAATGGCTTCATTGATGAGGAAGACCTCCAGAAAATCGTGCTAAGACTGCTGAACAGTGATGACGTGTCTGAGGACCTGCTGATGGATGTCACCCACCACGTGTGTATCCAGAAGGGAAGGGTGGGGCCCGAGGGTCCAGGTGACTATCCAAAGCCCCCAGATATCAGGCAATCTTCTTGGGAAGAGATCCAGAGTTAAGCCTGGAGCAGGTGGTACATACGCCCCCGGCAGCTGCCGTGGGCCCCTGAGAAGTGGGCTCACACAGTGGAGAGAACTATGCCTCAACTGTCTGTCCTTCCAATAAGAACCTTCTCTCCCCCGCTCACCCAAAAGTCTCCCTCGTACATGGACCACTCAGGGCAGCTGGGCACAACAGCTTAGCATCATATGAATGCATCTCAACGTCACAACAGCTTAGCATCATATGAATGCATCTCAACGTCCCCTCCCGTGTTTTTCATCAGGACCGCAGTGCCCAAATGCAGTGACAAGACATGCCACATCCCTGGTAACATAAGATGGGGCCAGGCCAGGGTTGCACAGTGCCTCCTCCTGCCTGACTCAGGCTTCTTACAATGCGGGGCGCATACCCATGCCCGGCTGATGGGGTGAATGGGGTCCACCGTCCTCACTGTGACGTGGGTGCTGGGGGCCACTAAAGAGAATCCCTCCAAAAGAAGGCCAGCCGTGATGCCTCCTCCACCCCTACCTTAGGCCACACCCCTTCACCTCTGTGGGGGAGGGGCCCCGAGACACCCTGCCATATTGTAGTTCCTCTGCACCGTCTGTCTCCCTCTTGAGACCCATCTCCTGTCAGACCCTGGGCTCCTCTCAACTTCTTTCCTTCCACCAGGTCCTGAGCGAGTCAGATCTGGACAACGACAACATGCTGTCCTTCTCCGAGTTCGAACATGCAATGGCCAAATCTCCAGATTTCATGAAGTAAGGCATTCTTGAGGGGAGGGGCTATCCAGCAAGGCTGGAGGCAGGGAAGGCTCCCCCGGCCCCCAGTGTCCCCTGGACCAATGGCACATCTCAGTCTTGCCATGGAAGCCATGAGTGTCCCGGGCTCCACTGATTCTTCAGAAGTAGTAAAACTGAAGTGTCTGAGAAATCGGCTAACCTTGGGAACCAAGACAAGGATTTGACAGAATTCCAAGGTTTGCAGACCATGTGTGGGGTTGGCACAACCTCAGAGACATTACCCCTGATGGCCAGGATATCTGTGTACATCTCCCTGGCACCTGCCGGGCTTCACATCCAACCTGAGTGCTGCCCGCATCACCCAGGTCTACTGGGAGCTTGGGGAGAGGGTGGAGGGTAGAGAGGGTTTGTTAGCAGTGTAAGGATGCCATCGGAAGAGCTGACAAAAGAGAAGTCACAAGAGAAGCAATTAAGTCTACCCGAGAGCAGAAGGGCCTCAGTGATGCCTGCTCCAGACTCCATCCAGACGACGGCCCTCTGTTTCCGAGGCCGCATTTGCCAGTCTTCTGGTTCCTTCCAGTCCAGGGCAAACGCATCCTGTTGAGATGGTCTATGCCATGACTGAAGAGTCCTGTGAGAATAGCCTTCCTTGTGCGGAGTCAGCATTGCTGGCTGTCTTGCATGCTTGCCTCCAAGGCTTGCTGCCCCTTGATGTCACAGGCGAGATGATTTATGAGGAGCAAGGATGGTGCCTCTTGAGAATTTTACAAACCAACTCCAAAAAGGACAGGGCGGGGTTTAGCAAGAACCATGGCAGAGGCCCAGACAGCTGCTGCTCTCATCTTCCTCTCTCCCTTCCCCAACCCATCTCTCCCTCTATCAGCCCGCCTCTCTACTCACACTTTCCTTCCATTGCACACCTGCAACCTCTGCAGTGTCGGACTTAGGGGGCAGCGTGCGTCACGGCCTCCCAACAGTTCAGGATTCGTTTTGATTGAGCTCAACTCTGAATTCCCAAAGGAAACTCACCTCCCAACCACAAGGACGGGGATGATGGTTCCCGACTCCATCGTGGCTACTACTAGAGGGCTAAGGCTGGGCAGAACCTACATAGGTCTCACTTGGGACAGTCCTATCAGAGGAAATTCCTCGTCCTCCACAACAGCCCCTCGCAGCATTGGTGCTGGAATCCTATTTGCCTTGCACGAGTGCCTAAATGGCTCCCACTTTTCCCCCTGGGCTCTGGCGCCCCAAAATTTAGAAACCTTTCGTGTTCTGGTGATGCTAAAAAAAGCTGAAAGTTTGGGAACTGGAGAAATAGCTTAGTTGGCAAACCACTTGCTGCACCATCATGAGGACCCGAGTTTGATCCCTGGCATCCACAGTAGTGGTATACGCTTGCAATACGAAGGCTGGGGAGGCCGAGACAGGGTGGTCACTGGGTTTCCTGTCAAGCAAGAGCCTTTGTCTAAGAACAAAAAATAAGGCAGATGGCTCCCGAGGAACCACACTTGAAGTTGTTCTCTGGTTTCCCCACACATACATGTATGTGCACCCTCACTGACACTCATGTACACATGGTTTGAGTTGGCTGAAACAGGCCTGACGGGACACGGTGGGGACCTCAGATAGCCAAGCCTCTTTCCTTCAGCTCCTTTCGGATTCACTTCTGGGGATGTTGATGCGGAGGCAACCCTGTGGTCCAGCAGCCTGGAGAGAGACCACTGCACCCTGGCATGGTGGGATCTGATGTGAAGCATGGCTATCTCTGTCCCTCCTTCACCTCTGGAATACTGTTTACTAAATAAAGTAATGTTTTCCTAAGCCCATCTGTACCCACTGCTTTTTGAAAGCAGGGTCCGGTCCTACGCTGGGAGTTAGTGTTGAGAACGGCTCGTTCTATGGCTCAGGGTTGCCAAAAACTCCGGGCAAGCCACAGTGGCCATCTTTTTGAGGACGGAGTTCAAGCCTCAGCCGGTGTCAGAGGAGGGGACCGAGCCAAATGGAACGAAGTTCAGAAGGAAAATATTCAGCCCTCCCTCCCCTGGAACCTACCCGGGACCCATCGTCTTCCAGGGCAGTGTCAGGGCTGTGTGCGCATAGCTGTCATTCCAACTGGCGCCTGGCCTCTCTGTCTTCCTCCCACAGAGACGACATCTTGGCCCTGCTTGCCACCCTTGGGCTCTGGGGATGAGACCATGTGTGACCAGCATTTAGGGCCTATTTGCTTCGCTATTCAGCCAAGCCCCGCAATGAATTTGGCGACTCCGGGGACACTTTGGGGTCCAGCTGGCCAGAGACTCTGAGACATAAGAGAAACTCATCATGAGAGCTGTGGCAGCTGCCAGATGGCTACCTGCTGGGCACGTGGTTTTCCTCATCCTGGTCCCGAGGGAGGCAGAGAAACACTAATTACACAGGAAGGGTTATTTGGTTACAGTGTACACTTGAATCCTGTCTTTAGGTCTTGACTCACCTGTTCTGAGGCAATAGGCAACCCAGTGCTCACGGGAGTCCCCTTGATCAGGAGGGGAGGGGATGCTGGGGTAGCCCAATAGTGAGTACACTCCTGAGCTGAGATCTCAGAACCGCCTATGGGGCTGTTGTGTCCTGCCCTCTGCCCTGTCAAAGTCTCCCAGGAGGTCAGAAGCAATCACGCTGAGAGAGCAGACTTTGACCCTCAAAGGTCACCTAGGCTTGTGACCTTGGTACCACTCCCCGTGGCCAAGTTGTTAAGAGTAGTTTCGTCCCAGCTAACTCCTCCAGCTCTTCAACAAGTAAGTTCTCTCAGCAGTAGTGACACACACCTTTAGTCCCAGCACTTGGGAGGCAGAATCAAGTGGATCTTTGAGTTCAAGGCCAGCCTGGTCTACAGAGCAAGTTCCAGAACACCCAGGACTACCCTGTCTCCAAAAAAAAAAAAAAAAAAGAGAAAAAGACACAAGCTCAAGGGTAGATATGTACTTAACCAGCTCCGACCTGTCCATGCTGAGCACAAGGTGCACAGATGACTTTCAAGAGCTGCCAGGCCCCTTCTGTCTCCACATGGGTATGTGACAGAGAAGCCAGGACTGAGGGCCCCAAAAGACCAGGTTCAAATCTTGCCTGTGCCATTTCCTTACTGTGTGTGCTTGGGCAACTTTCTCAGCATCCTGGAAGTTCCAGGTCTTCAGTGAAGAGGGTGGGTGATGCCGTCCTCACACGTTATCAAAAGATCAATTAAATGACACCAAGGCTCCAGGGAGCATTCCTTACCATGTGTGAGGGTTATCTTGATTGCCAATTCGACTGGACTAAGAAACACCCAGGGAGTTAGTGACACACGCTTTTGAAAGCATCAGTGAGGTGTTTGCAGAGTCAATTAGCTGAGGGTGGAAATCCCACTCGGAATGTGAGCAGCCATCCCATGGACTGGCTCCCAGACTGAGTGAAGGGAAAAGGAAAAAGTCAGAGCTGAACACCGACACCCAGGACAATTGTTTGGGAGCCATGGTACCCGCTTACGGACACGGGCTGGTGTTCTCAGTTATACCAGTGAAAGCAGATCTGAGGTCTCCGTGCCTCAAGGACTGCCTGGGCAGCCTTGTGAGCCTGACCTTTGTCAGAGCCACTGACCCCCACCTACCTCAACTTGGGAGCAGCTGGAAGGCCCACGGCAGCTGACACGCATCTCAGTTTGATGCTTAGCTCTCCCCAGGTACTCAGGTTACCTTCATGCATGGTGACAGGATCCAAAGGAGGCACATGGGACGGTTGTGGCTGAAGGTTTTATTGCAAGCAAGCCAGACTGGTGAGGTCCAGGCTCCCTGGCATCAGCCTAGTTTCAGGCTCTGAACTCGAAGTATAGGTCCCTCCTTTGCCGCTCTTGTGAGGGGACCCTCTTTCCTGATGGGTAGGTCTGGTAGTTCTTCGGGTAGTCAGGGGACACTCTTAAAAGGTTCCATTTAGTCTTTGGGCTCAGAGGAGGCCTGGGGGGTAAGAACGGGGCCACTGTCAGACAGAATGCCTGGCGGGGAGGATCAAGCGTGTTCGCCATAGTCCCAGTACCCCCAGTAGCTTTGTCACCCCAGCCATTCAGCAGTGTGACATCTGCTAAGTCACATGACTTGGGTATGGATTCTGGTCCCATCTCCTGCTGGAAACAAACCCATGTAACAAGGAAGTGCTTGTTACTGTCACCTCGGTGTCTCTGTTCTAAAGGAGGCTCTGCATACAAAGCACTTAACATAATGCAAGGCGAAGAGTAGACACAACTGTTACAGAGATGGTGGCTGCTGCTGCTGCTGATCCGGTAAAGACGATGATGGTGATGGTAACGGGGGTGGGGATGGTGGTGATGGGGGTGCAGGTGATGGTGGTGATGGGGGTGATGGTGGTGATGGTGGTGATGGGGATGATGGGGGTGATGGTGGTGATGGGGGTGATGGGGGTGATGGTGGTGATGGGGGTGATGGTGGTGATGGGTGAAGTGATTGTCCAAAAAGGTAGACATGCTCCAGGTTACAGAACTGATCACTGATCTTCCCTAGCTGCTTAAGATGAACTCTCTGGGTCAGAAATGGCACTGCCAGAAGCACAGACTACCAGGTAATTTGGTGAAGAGAGAGATACAAGGATCTGAAGACTGAAGAACACATCTGGCAAGACCTCAGGAGACCTGTCCCCATGGACACACTGGCTCAGGACTGCCTCGTTAGAGAGATGGTCACACTCAAAGGCTAAATTGACTGCAGCAGACATGGGTCTCTTCCCAGACTGGGTCTCCAACTACCAGGCCCAACTCCCGAGGTCCTCACCAGACTCAACTTGCCTACTTATCAACAGACCCGCCTATGTCACAGAGACACAATGAGACAATGCCTGCAAAGTGTATCAAACTGTGTGGGAACAGTTGCTTTATCTACATCTGGATGCTGAAGCTGGGTTCTTGAGGTGAGCAGGGGTTAAGAAGGGTTAGAAACCTGCCCAATGACCTACTAAGAGCCCCTCCACAGACAGAGATGGGTTACAACAGTGGAGTCTCTAGCCCAGGGACAAGTCACCACCCTACCCCACCCATAGGTACCTAGTAACAAACGTGTGATCCCTCAGATGGCAGGAGGGAGTGACGTGGCTTGGCTCACCTTGCAGGGCCAAGTAGGTCTTCCCTGGAGGTGGGCCACGCCTCCCAGATAGCCCCCCGTGTGAGCGCTGGCTGCAACGTGCTTTCTTGCACTTTTAACTTGGCTAGTTAGACTTTTCAGGTATCATCAAGTCCTTGATGTGCGACTAGGTTCCCAGAATATCCCAGAATATTCCATAGGAGGGGGCTAGAAGGTGGGGGTAGCAAGTGGATGGCTTGGCTCTAGTCAATGTAGTGTCCTAGTCAACCACCAGAGGGCAGCAGCAGCTCCAGGTTTGGACTGGTGCAGCTTTGAGAGAGGGGGCCTTTGCAGAGGAAGCAGTGGGCAGGTTCGCACTAGCAAAGGTTGGGAAACATGCCTCTTGTCCAGAAAACACTTTCTGAGTCTGCCCATGCGTGTTCCTGGTATTCTTCCTCCACAAGTTGCTGGACCTGCGACCCTCTCTGCAATGCAACTGTCTCTAACGGCAGGCACCACAGGTTTGGTTGCTAATTGGTTCTGAGAGAGAGAGAGAGAGAGAGAGAGAGAGAGAGAGAGAGAGAGAGAGAGAGAGAGAGAGAGAGAGAGAGACAGAGAGAGAGAGACAGAGAGAGAGAGACAGAGACAGAGACAGAGGCAGAGAGACAGAGAGACAGAGAGACAGAGAGACAGAGAGACAGAGAGACAGAGAGACAGAGAGACAGAGACAGAGAGACAGACAGAGAGAGACAGACAGAGAGAGACAGACAGAGAGAGACAGACAGAGAGAGACAGACAGAGAGAGAGACAGAGAGAGAGACAGAGAGAGAGAGACAGAGAGAGAGAGAGAGAGAGAGAGAGAGGACACGTGTGCATGCACATTTGTTCACAGGAGAGGAAGACGGGGACACTCACAGGTCTGTGGGTAGGGGGTACCGGTCCCACTCCTTCACAGGCAACACGAAGTAGGGAACACGGGGCACCATGCCGGTCTTGTCCTGGTAGTACTTCCGCTGCTGCTGTGCTATCTACAGCTCAGTCAAAGAACACACAACAGGTCGTCACTGAATCACCTGTTCCCAGCTATACCCAGTCAGGAGTGAGAAGTCTCCCCGTACTCCTGGTACAGTCCACAGGGACCCAGCTCAACTGCTAACCAGCTGTTGTCCTCTATGCCTCAGTTTCTCCTCTGCCCATCAGGTATACTGACACCCACATAGCGGTTTTGCTACAGTGAGTCAAGGAGACCAAGCAACTAAGAAGTTCTGAAATCCCAGCTTAACGTGTGCATGCCTATCCACTGTCCACACACATGCTCTAAGCACACCTACCATGTCCACACATGCATACCCTAAGCACACCTACCATGTCTACACACACATGCTCTAAGCACACCACTGTCCACATGAGCTCTGCCTCTCCTTCACTCCTGGAGCAGGTGTGTCTGTGCAAGTCAAAATGGAGAAAAAGGTTGCCACTGAGACAGTCCCATGGCTTCTTGATGGCCGAGATCATCGGCTGAGCCTACCCCTAGAGAACTTTCCTCACTCAGACAAGTCCCTTGCTCTGGTATCAGGCAGAGTCTGTGTTCTTCCTACCAGGCTCCTCTCTCTCTCTTTCTCTCTCTCTCTGTCCCCCTCTCTCTCTGTCCCCCTCTCTCTGTCCCTCTCTCTCTGTCCCTCTCTCTCTGTCCCTCTCTCTCTGTCCCTCTCTCTCTGTCCTCTCTCTCTCTGTCCCTCTCTC